AATTTCTTTTTTAAATATAAATGAGGTGATAAATAATATAGGTCACATACTAAATCTATTTATTGATTTTATCCATTCGATAAACTGTAATTCATTGGATTGTGTAATACTTATAATATAGTAGTTTGTATAGTAGGTAATTTTAAACTAACAGTTACTTATAGAAATAATTTTTTAATAAATTTATGTTACAATTTGTTATCATTATATTTTACAACTATACATTTTAAATTAGTTATTTTTCTCAGTCAATGTACCCGATCTCTAAAAATTACAGAATGATAAATAAAGATTTTAGAGTATTATTATTATCATTACGAGTAGATTACCTATAATTATTATATTACTATATTAGGTATACGTTAGGTAATAGGTATACCTACTACAAACATATTATTAATTTAAATAAATATTTGTAATTACTTATTATCATATTTTAATATAACATTAACAGTTGAACTTAAAAAATAATACACGGTAAATTAATATCAATTTAATTGCGCTGTATTTATTTTATTTACCATTTATTAGATTTTACTATAAGTATTATATTTAAATAAGTAATAATTCAATAACTTCAAATCAAGCTATGTTATAATACAGTTTCTACGGTCTATATGTTGGGACATAAATTTAAGTAAACAGTATCTTAATTTATAATCTGTAGTTCGTAGGTACGCGAGGGTATTGAAAATATTACGGCGGCATTTGCGTATATTGAATTATATAATGATACGAATGGTACTGGACGAACGTTCATAGACAAATAAACGGCGCTCCCGAAGTCCGGAACGAGCACTCGTCGCCGCCGTCGGCCGGTTGCGAATAGTAGGCGTGACTTAAACGCCGCGCGCTTGCGGATCGTGAAAACACCTAACAGCGCATCCTCTCGGTCGTTGCATGCGTACAGCTTTGGGTGACACGTCCTCTTAACAATATCAACCACCTCAGTTATAAATGTTGAAACACCTTGACATTTTAATAAATCACTAATTATTAAATGTAGTGAATGAGCTATACAGTTCAATGATACAATATGTGGAAATTTGTCTTCAATTGATTTCCTAGAATTTAACATATTTGCAGCATTATCTGTTATAATAGCAACAAATTTTCTATTGTCATATTTGTTTATAACCTTTTTAATTTGCTCAGTAATATAATAAGTGTGATTAAAATGTATTGTTTCTACTGATGAAATAAAATATGGTTTTGGTGTACAAATAATAAAATTAATTATACCTTCATTGCGGATGTTTGACCACCCATCACACTGCAATGATAAGAATTTTGACTGAGCTATTTTTGTTTCGACAATAGATTTAACTGTATTATATTCATTTTCCAATAACGAAGTAGACAATGTTTTTCGAGAAGGAAGCTGTAACGATGGTCTCAGGAACTTGAAAACATCAACCCATAATGGGTGCTCAAGCATATGCAATGGGTAACCGCTTGCTATAATTGCTCTTGTTAATTTTTCATTTGATATAATCTAGAAAATTAAACCAATGTAGAAGTTTGAATATCACAAAACTAAGTATTTATAATTATTTAGTCTGGTTTATTATATAATACAATTAACTTTTAAACAAATCTAATTATTTCTTTGTAATTTGTAACTACCTATATAATTTTCTTGTTAGTTTTGACAATTGGTAAGATTGTATTTGCAAAATGTTAATAACTTTTGATCAATACATTATGTTTAATATTTTATGATTCAAATTTATTTTTATAGCTATCATAACTTTGTAAAGGTATTAAAAATATTTGTATAAACTGTAATATAGCCAGTATAGGTACCTACAATTTGTACATTCGTAATACTACTCCAATTTTTTTTTTTTTTTATTAATTTCTAGTTACTAAATAAAACTATAATTTAACTACCACATTTGTATATACCTGATTAGAAGCATCCATTTTATCAATAAAACTAAAAATTCCTTTCTTTGTATTTCTTACTGTTAAATTCGGTTGAATAACATTTTGTACTATACTGTCTATACTGTCTTGTCTTGATGTAGATGGCAACATTTCATTTTCAACAGTTTTAGAAGCATTCATATAATTTTCGTTTATTTCTGATAAATTATCCATATTATCGTTATCCTCTATGCTATGTAATTGTAAAGTGTGTGTATCTTTAGCTGGTTTAATTTTCTTTACAGCTTCGGATGGGCAATTTTTACAGTTTTTTATTAAATGCAAGGTCATTTTAGTGGCATTTTTACAAGAATATTGAAATTTGCAAAAACAGCATTCAAATATCTTTTTGCCATTTACAATTTTTTCTTGGTAATATGACCAACATGCCAATTTTTTTTTTACCACCAGCCATTTCAATAGAAAATTTGATTCGCACCAAATAAATAACGTACTTTATACACTAATACGTACACTAGATTTAAGCACAAAAAGTTATTAACAGAAATGTTAAAACGTTTGTGAAGTGTAAAACTATAAATTTAACTTACTACTATAGTAACAAAAATTAAAAGTATAAAACTATGTAAATGGGAAATACTAAAATGAAATAACGATACTTCTATATAATATAATCAATTATAATCTAATATAATGCTTATCAATATTATATCAGTCAACAAAGCAGTTTAGCCAATTGATGTGAACAAAATATACTAGTTCTCCAACTCGATATTTTCATTTTTTTTTTCAATATTCGCCAAGGAAATTTCCCGAGAGGTCGGGGAATATTCCGGGAATATTCCCTGTTCCCGGAAACATTCCTTGGGGAATATTCCCAACGGCACATCACTAGGTGTGTTACGCCCGCACGCAGGTTAATCATTGGCGCACGCCCTATGGGTAGTTCGACCACTACCACGTACTCAATATCCTCTACCAGGAAGTCGTCATCCTCCACTTCCTCCACCCCGTCGTCGAACATTTCCACCTCCGCTAACTGGAAGTCGTCCTCCACCACGTCGTCGACAATTTCCATGTCCTCAACCACCTCCATCTGGACTTCTGCCACTTCCACGGCCTGCACCACATCCATCTGGAGGTCCCCGAACACCTAAAAGTTTGGTTGAGTTTAGAGTATTTTATTTCCATCGCATAATATATGTGTGTTCATACATATTAAATATAATCTTGTGTTGGTTAGGTTTAATGTGCTTATGTGTAATACCGTTAAAATAACAACACAGACTTACATTTTAAAAATGTATTGCACTCTATAACAGTAAGTGTATGTACTCATATGCAATAAGTGCATTTATATGAAATTATTACATGATAAGTTGAATTTAAGGTTTATGTTACACTAATAAAATCATACATGGTCTTTGTTGAGACCCGAATGCGCGATGACATTCCCCACCGACCGCCTCACACACGCACACACACACAACACAAATTATTGTTTTTATTTCTGTTTTAATTGTCCGTATCAGCTGTGAATTATTATATAATATGTAAATTATCACCGTCGCCGCGCCGGCTGCGCGTTTATTATTATTTTAGCACAGCCGCCGCAAATGTGACCAGTCCAGTTTCGCGCACCGGTGTCATCGGAAACCGTTAATTTTTATTTTGTGTGCCAGTCGTCATTCGTAGGTACAATATATTGTAAAATTCGTAAGGCGCGAATTATCAGAATTATAATATATTGTATCGTTTTGTAAGGCACGATTCGCCAAAAGTATAATATATCGTGGGCGCGAATAGCTACATATTGTACGTTATTGTACGGAGCGAATCGCCAGTGTTGGTTGTAATTTTTTATATTATTATTGAGAAGGCGCGAATCGCAAAAAAATATTATTAATTGTCAAGGCGTATATCGCCAGTGTTTATTATTATTCTATTATGCATTACTATTATATAGGAAAGGAACGGCTGGCCAGTTTTCTCTCCACTAAACTGTGAGTTTTTATTATTTACTGTTATACTTCAACATTTGTTGAGCCAAAAGGGCTAAATTTATACAGGCATTTGTCGTACCAGAAGGGTATACCTACTATATTATTATTATTTATCTATTATTTTTACCGTAATATAGCAATTTATATCTCGTTAAGTTTTAGTTACCATTTTTTCCAAATAGTCTTTCTGTTGTTAGTTTTAAGTACACAAAAACACACATACACACTACACACTCACTGCACACTAGCACTCAGGTCCTTTGCTCGGAAATCCCGTCCACTACCCTCGAGTCGCTAATCACACATTATTTATACACCTCACAGGTCGGTCGGTGCGTGAGTGGAGCGCGAAGTATTTAGGTGACCGGGCGACACGCACTTTTATATTGTACGTACCCGGCCCGCACAGTCTTCAATGTGATAAAATCAAGTACACCTATATCTATGATCTATCACCACTATGTATCAAATAGCACACATCAGTAATAAATAATATGTTACACTGTGTTACAAATAAAGTTAGTTGTATAAATAAAGTAAAGAAAGTGATGAACACTACGATAAAACACTTATCCAGTACCTACACAATTCAAAAAAAAAAAGGAGAGTTTAGTAAAGAGTCTAGTAATACCCACTTTGTGTAGTAGTAACATTAAGAAAATGTTAATTTATGTAACAAAACGTGAAGTATCCTGTTGAGGTCAAAGTTGATATATAAGTATAGTTGTAATCTAGCCTTCGTGCTGGAAGGTTGTTTGATTCGTGTTGTGTTAGTACCTAACTATCGGAATATTTCTCAATTTATTATCGTTAAATTCTTTATCGGGTCTATAGTGCGTTTGTGTGCGTATCATTATATAGATTAACTCATAGGTATATCTTATCTTAATAATTATATAGTGATGCCGTGTGCTAAGTGTAATCTAAATGTTTCCCCGAATAAAAGAGCTATATGTTCTACATGTAGCAATGATTTTCATACTGCATGTACAAATCTTAAAACACTAACTAACTTTAATAACTCAAAAGATAGCTGGAAATGCGAAACTTGTACTTCCAAATTGAAAAATGTTGTAGCACGTAAAAAGTTGGACGGTTATCTTAACAATGAATGCAGTGATTCTTGATTCGGTCAAAATTGACCTAAATATTGTATTGGATAAAATTGAATCACTTTCTAATAATATTAAATCTATTGAGAAATCTATTGGTTTTTGCTCTGATTCGATTGATGATTTAAACGTTAAGCTAGAAGAAGCTGTTAAAAAGATTTCTGATATAGAAAATAAAATGCTTAGATACGAACATAAATGTAATAAATTAGAAAAAGAAGTCAATATTCTCAAGGCAGTAATCAACAATAATGAACAATTAATGCTCTCTAATAAAATAGAGATTTCTGGTATTCCAAAAACTGCCAATGAAAATATTACTGAGGTTGTCAAAACATTAGCACAATCATTAAAGTGTGACGTTCAAGATTGTGATATCATTGACGCTTTTAGAGGTAAAGCATACAAGAACATGGACGGTAAAATTTATACACACCTAATTTCAAAAAATATCAAAGAATTGTTTGTTAAAAACATAAAACTACGATACAAAAATAATAATCCATTATTAGCTAATGAAATTCATAGGAATTTCCCGGAAAACAAAATATTTATTAACGATCAATTAACCAGTCATAATAAGAAATTATTATGGTTTTCTAAGGAAGTCGCAAAAAACTATAATTACAAGTATACCTGGGCAAATATGAGAGGGATTTTCATGCGAAAAGGAGAAGGAGATCAAGTCATCAAAATTCATAACCTTGAAACTTTGCAAAAAATGGATCAAAACAAAAAGATATCTGAGCTATGGGACAGTAGCAGTGTTGACTTGAAATAATTTTCCATACAACTTATTATTAGTAATTATATTGTATTTTTTATATTTTATTATCTATGTTTTTCCAACCTGAAATACTTAATGAAATTAATTGTAGTAACAATGTCGCTAATAAGGTAACTGATAATTTAACTGATATTGTTTTCAATACTAATGACCTATCAATTTTTCATTGTAATATTCGTAGTATTAACTTGCACTTTAATGAACTCTTAGTTTATCTAAATTCAATTCCGCAAACTTTTGATTTTATTATTTTAACTGAGACCTGGTTAAGTGTTGATTTAAACTTTAATATTAATGGTTATAAAACATATCATTCCTTGGGTTTTTTAAATAAATCTGATGGTGTTACTATTTTTATTAGAAATAATGTATTTATCATGGACCTTAGTACTAATATTATAACAGATTGCAATTCTATTGAAATTAATTTTAAATACAATTTACATAATTATAAAATAATAGGAATTTATAGATCACCAAGTTTAGTTATAAATAATTTCTTAATGGGCATTGATTCTTACCTGTCCAACATTTCTGTTAATGATAAAGTAATTATCTGTGGTGATATGAATATTAATATCCTTGAAAATTCAAGTGATGTTTCTAACTACTTAAATATTCTGGCATCTTATAATTTTATTTCTTGTATTGACTCTTACACTAGGGTTACTGATTCTACAATGTCTTGTATTGATCATATTTTTATTAGAAATATTGATATATCTAAAGCAAATTCTTTTGTTATTAAAACAGATATTACAGATCATTTTAGTTTGGCTTTTTTTATTAAAGAAGATTTTATTGACAATCTAAAGGATAATGTGAGACACGATAATTTTAATAAAAAAAATATCATTAATTTCAATACATTAAATATTTTAATTTCTTCATTTGATTGGCATAGTTTATTAATTAATAATGATGTGGACATATTGGTAGATAAATTTAACTATAAAATAAATGAATTAATTAATAGTGCTACTAAGGTTACTATTATTTCAAATAGTAAACTTAAAAAAACCCATAAAATTAAAATCTGGATAACTAATGGTCTTCTTATCTCAATTAAAAATAGACAAAAACTTTATAAGAAAAAACTTAATTCACCTTTCGATTTAAATCTTAGACAATATTATATCAAATATAGAAATCTTTTGAACCTATTGATTAAAAAAGCGCGTTGCTTATATTATAGTAATCTAATCTCTCTAGCTAAAACCAATATGAAAACAACATGGAAATTAATAAATGAAGTCTCTTATAGTACTAAGAAAAAAAAACCTCCAATAAACTCTCTGAATAGTTTTGTTTCAAATACTACTTTAACTAACAAATCTGAAATATTAAACGAATTAAATAATTATTATATTAATGTTGGAAAAAATATTTCTGATGAGATTAATACTAGTAATTATAATAAATTAAATTGGAATGAACTGAACCAAAACTGTCATATTAGTGATTCTATCTTTTTAGATCCGATATACCCCATTGAAATTTCAAATTTCGTTCGCTAAATACCAGATAATACTTCTTATTTTACAAATGACTTATCAAATTTTATTCTTAAAAAAACTGTTGACACAATTTCAATACCTTTATCTATTATTTTTAATTTTTCTATGGTCTCTGGAAAATACCCTTCTACATATAAAAACACTATTATTCTGCCTCTTTTTAAATCAGGTGACAAAAAATTATGTAGTAACTACAGACCCATTGCATTAACTTTAACTATTTCTAAAATTTTTGAAAAATGTATTAAAAAAAGACTTATGGTTTTTCTGAATAAACATTCATTTTTTTCACCTAATCAATATGGTTTTCGTCCAAATATGTCAACTGTTGACCCATTAGTTAAAACTTCCCATTTCATTCATAATTATTTGGATAAAAAGTTTAAAGTTTTGGGTATTTTTCTTGACTTTAAAAAAGCGTTTGACAGTGTGAATCATGAGTTATTAACAAAAAAACTTGATTTCTGTGGCATAAGAGGTAATGCCCTAAACTTAATTAAATCTTTTATTTCAAATAGACCTCAACAAGTTCGAATTGATGGAATCCTGAGTGATATAAATACCAATAGTTTTTCGGTGCCACAAGGTACTGTTCTTGGCCCAATATTGTTTATCATTTATATTAATGGACTCTTAAACTTGAACCTAAATGCTGATGTTATGTGCTATGCTGATGACACAGTCGTACTTTTAAAAAATAAAGATTATAATAAATTAATACAAGAGTCGAATATATGTCTGGATTTGATTAAGAATTGGTGTGACAATAATAATCTTCAATTGAACTTAACTAAATCTAAATATATTATCTTTAATATTTCTAACCGTATGTGTACATCTTATAGTTCTTCTGAATTATGTATACATTCCTATAATTGTAAATATTTAAATTTACCCTGTAATTGTGTTCCTTTAGAGAGAGTGTATAATATTAAATACTTAGGTATTAATTTTGACCACAGACTAAAATTTGCTGACCATATTTTTTCTGTTAATAATTCAATTAGAAAATTATTTTATAAATTTAAAATACTCCGTAATATATTAGATCTAAAAACCTTAAGGGTTGTTTTCTTAGCTTTAGCACAATCAATTTATTTATATGGCTCTTTGGTCTGGGGATGTACATACTCCAGTCATATTAATGTATTATGTACAACTATAAAATCTTTAATAAAAGTTATTTTAAATAAACCAAGATTTTTTCCTTCAAATTTAATATTTACAATTCTTAATGTTCAACCTTTTAGGATATCACATGAACGTCAAACTTTATTATATATGTATAAAATTAAAAACTTAATTAAAGATTATCAACCATCGCATGATTACCATACAAGACTAAAAAATAATAACAACTTAAATATTCCTCATAGTATAACAAATTTTGGTAATCAAAGCACTATTATTAGAGGTGTTTTATTATTACGAGTATATAATATAAATATTTTTTCATTTATTAATTTTAATCAATATAAAAATCATGTTATTAGTGTTCTATCTTAGATTTTTTGTTTTTGTATTTTGGAATAATTAATTTGTAATTTTAATTTTATTTTTGTTTACCTACATTATGCACTTTTATTATACCTTAATAGAACTCAACTCATCCGCATTCAAGCTTATTTGCTTATAGGATGAGTTGCAACTTTTTATTTATAGTCTATTTAACCTTTGTATATTTTTGATGTTGCAATAAACTTTTATTATTATTATTATTATTATTATTATTAAGTTAATCTAGGTATCAAATTTTAGTCAATGTATTAGCTTGACCCAGTGTTTGATATGCAACCAGTGCTTGATTTGGGGGGGACGCGGGGGGACGGAGTCCCCTTCTTTTTAATTTTTTTTTAGCGTACCCCTTCTATTTATTTGAAACGGAACGCTGCGAACGCAACATTTATTATAGTGAATTTGTAAATCATCAGTTTTTCTGATGCAAAATATATCCATAACCTATTTCTATAATATTTGTACATTTGAATCGACTATGAAAAAAAAAAGATTGTTAAATTGCTTAAGATTGTTAAAATTCAATTTTCTATGGCTTTTCGCTCTTGGTGTATAAAACTATAATAGAAGTGTTCATAACAGCAAAGTTGATTCTACTACCATACACAATCCGTGTTCTATATTAGAGATTGTTATGCATATGACTTGCCACAAACAGTGTTTAAAAAAGAACTCTACACAATTAAGTCATCATAACAGTCTTAAAATTATTTTTCATAATAGTTCATCTTCAATTGATAAACTATTAAACAGTGGGTAATTATTAAAAGCATGCAATGTTATTTTTAAACATTTTATACTATTTTGCATACTTATTTAATTATCTTTTAGAAGTATACACTATAATAATAAATAATTAATAATACTATTGAACATTTATAGCCAATAGTTATAATTTAGCTTTTGGATTTATATACATTTTTTATTTTGAATTAAATTTATTATGAGTTTGTACCTGATTGTTTTCTTGCGAAAATTAGCTCACATTTTCACAGCTTTTAATTGCATGCAGAATATATTTTATACTAATTACTAGGTATTGTTTTTAAATTTTTGAAAATGTATGCTTTTATAAATCAAACTAAATAATTGGCTTGTTTGTTAAAATGTCTTATCGCATACTTGTATTAAAATAAATAAAAGTATATATATATATATATATATACTTCTATATCATTATGTTAGTATCACTTTTTAGCCATAAAAAATAAAAAATTTTATTTGTTTTTTTTTTAATGTTTAGGGCAATATTACTGAAGAAAGTGAAACTGAAGCAAAAGAAAATGAAGTCTTTTTACCAAATACAGAATCGCCAGATTGTTGGGACGATAAACAAGTGATGTATTTTTCAATAATAAAAAAATTGGTTGCAAAATATGTTCTAAGGCCAATTTTAATTTAACAAAACACCAAGGCATGGTTCACAAGAATGGATGAATGGAGAAATATGTCCAGTTGGAGATGATTTTAAGAAACAGCAAAAAAATTTAAGAAAAAAAATTTCAAAACATAAATCTTCTCAAAGCCATTTATACACTGAACGTATAATTGAAAAACAAAAGTTGGAAATTATGCCAACTCAAGTATTAAAAACTTCATACATTGACATTGATAATACAAAAAGAATATTCAGGACAGCATACAGCATAGCAAAGTCCCAACATTATAATTTGGCCTTGCTGTAACCATCGACTAGAATTGGCAGTATCTGATACATTAAAAGAAGTTCAAGGAACCAATCATTTCCAGTCGTTCATAGAAAAAATATATGGATTGTATCATCAATCACCCAAAAACATGCATGAACTTAGTAAGTGTGCTGCATCAATAGAAATGAAACTCTTACATATTGGTAAAATCTTCACTATTAGATGGGTCGCTTCTAGTGAAAAAACATTAAAAGCAGTTTGGAATAATTATATGCCACTAGTTGATCATTTTTCCAAAGCAACTAATGATTTAGAGAGAGACTCAAAAGCAAGATCTAAGTATGTGGGGCTAAAACGTATTCTAACATCAGTAGAATTTGTTACGAATCTAGGTAAATTAAGTAAATATTGTTTTTACGTTAAATTTTTAGTCAACTTTCTTTTTATTTCAGGAATTATGCATGATGGGCTATCTGAACTTGCAGATTTATCGGTACAGTTGCAAGAAAGAAGTTTATCACTTTCAGCTACAAATAAAGCTATAGAACGTACTATTAGAATATTTGATTCAATGGCTAATATATATGGACCAAAAACACAAGAAGCTATGGATGCAGGGACACATTATATGTTCAAAAATGTACAATTAATCACAAACAAATCAATTCCTACTATTAAACATGTGTTGCGTCCCAACTGACGTCGATATATACATCAACGTGGAAATGAATACTTGATGCACTTGGTTATTATGAGTAAGTACAAAATTACAATGTATAAAGCTTATGTAGAGAGGTGAGCGGTGTTACGACCTGACTCTGAATTGTTACTAAGATTTTGAGTGGTGTTACGACCTGCCTCCAAAATGATACTAAGACTGTGAGTGGTTTTACGACCTGCCTCCAAGTGTCTTGAGTATCCCTAACCGTCTGACGAGCTCTTGTCCTGGGCTGGTATTTATATGAACGAGTCCTTTGGAGTGGGTGGTCATAGTAGTGGCAAAATTCGGTCATGAGACAGAGTCCTGGTCTCGTACTTGGTATGCTGGTCGACTCGTATCCTTCGTATGAATGTTTGCCTTTCCTAGAGAGATACTTTTACAGTGTCCCTAACGTGTTATAATATACTAATTGCCTTATTAATTATATCGTCGAGTACTATTAGAAACCTGCGCTACGTCGTACATTGTTATTACTTAATTACTAAATACGTAGGTACGTAACACATGGACAGTTTTTTATGAGTTTAGCTAATAATTTGCGTACTAGACTATTTACTTCTCAAGCAACTCATCTGTCTAAAAACAAAAATGACTTTAAAAGTGAATTTGATGAACTTATAAAAGAATTGGATGTGTTAAATTCTAATAACTGGCCTGATAATGTTGATATTCTGTATGAAGATGACTGTGTTAGAAGATTAGTTACAAGGTTTCATTTAGATGAAAAATCTACGATCCGAGGATTCCGTGAGTTTAAAGATACAAAAGATTCCTCACAAATAAACCATCTACATCCTCTTTTGACTGCAGTCAGAACAATTGCAATTTCTTCCTCTGAATGTGAGAGAACATTCAGTGTAATGAGCAATATAGTTACATCAAAAAGAAATGCTTTGACTACAGGGCATATATCTTCATTAATTTTCATTAACTGTATCGGACCTCCCATTCAACTGTTCAAACCAGATCATTACGTCGAAAGCTGGATAAAAAGTGGAAAAAGAAATTCTGATGAAGTAAACTGTCCTAAACGATCTTCTAAATATGAAGATAGTTTATATGAAAACTTATGGACCTTATTTAATAAGTAGTTTCTTTTTTTCTTTTTTTTTGTAGAATAATTAATTAATAAATAATAATGTTACATTTAATGTTTAAAAAAAAAAAATTAGAAATAAACAAGTATTTTTTTCTTTTAAAATATTTTTGTATAGTACATTTAATGATTCTTTGGGAATATGGGTGTCTGAAAAGGGGTGTGGGGGGCTTTGCCCCCCACGGTAATGTTATAGTTAATTTTGTGTGGAACGCTCATTCATCAAACATCCTCAGAGTCCCTTCTTGTTTTTTTCCAAATCAAGCACTGTATGCAACTGAAATCTGAAATAGCGGAAACACAATTGAATGTCGTTCAAGTTATTCTACAGTTTGCATTTAATATAATAAGTTGAATGGAATTCTTACGATAAAATAGACATTTATATTTCAAGAATGTTGTACCGAGCCAGTATAGTATAGTTAAGTCTAAGAAGGTATAGTAGAGTACCCTAAGTTATGTACAGAAACAATTTATATAATAAGTATCTAAGATCACAGTGAATAATAACACGGAATAAACGTAAACAAATCTATTGTATTAACTTTTGAAATGATAAAATGCCTATCTAGTACACAACTTACAAATAAAGGAGAGTATAAATAGGTCAGTAGTAAGAAGTAGTAGTAATATTATTATTTTGTTCATTGGTTGTAAATACCCAACAGAGAGTTAACTGTGACTTACACTACCTATTTCGTAGGAGTGGATATACAGTTTATCATTTTAACAAAATGAATAAAAATAAAGTGTAATTTAATACAGAATTTTAACTACCAACAATAAAAAGAAGAATATAGTAGTAAATATGTTACACTGTAGTACAAACAAGGTTAGTTGTATAAATTGCTAACAATAAGACAATATGTGAAATGATAAAATACTTATCCAGTATACAATTCACAAAGAGTTATGTACAGAAACAATGCATACAATATGTATCTAAGAGCACAGTGAATAATTAAGCATGTAACAAATTTCAACCGTAGGTTAGACACTACTTATTCTCATTGGATGTGAAATGATATCATTGGTACTTACAAATAAAGGAGTTTAGACTAAGGGTAGGTACTAAGTAAGTAGTAGTAGTAGTAGTAGTAATATTGAGAACTGTGTAAGAAAACGTTAAGTGTTCTGTTTAGGTCAATATACCCATAGTAAAAGTTGTTATTATATTAGTATAGTTATAAGTTAATGTAGATATTAAAATAAGCTTGACCCAGTGTTTGATATGCAATTGAAACCTGAAACAGCAGTAACACAATTGAATGTCGTTCTACAATTCCATTTCTATACAATTATAATATGCCAGTATAGTATAGTAGTATAGAAAAGTATAAGTAGGTCCAGAAACAATGTACATAATATGTATCTAAGAGCACACGAAGCTCCCGGGTTTGACGTCATCCGACAAGCCTTGCGGCAGGTCATCCGACTACAACTACGGACCTTATATTAGCACCAGGTGCTAGTCAAGGGCCGTAGAGGCATACGACCGCCAACCGACGGACCCTCCCCACACTGTTGCATGGCCTGAGGACCGCACGTCGTCTAAGGACCACGAGCACCGTACGCGCGCGGAGGAGTACCCCGGTGCGCCCGTACCATCCGGCTAGGGCATACAGGTGCCTTTCGCCACTTGGTGAGGCCGCAATCTATCCATGTTGCTTTCCGTTTTTGGTCACGGACAACCTTCGCTGCATATAGCTCCAACGATAAGCTGGGTGAGCGCTAAGAAGGGACCGTGCTTTCCCGGCAGACTGTCGCCGTACGAGTCCGCCCGGTCCCGTCACTCGGCCGCCTTCCCCTGGCCAAGCGTGCGGCCTATCACCACATAGTATGCTCCAGCAAACTGCCACTTCGAAACCAATCCGCCATCGGACGAGGCAGTGTCCACCCCGACCGACGTGTGAGGGCTCGGTGTTAATCGCTCAACACCGAGGGGCCCCCTCACATCCCGAAGCACCATTCTCGCCTCCCATTAGGTAAGGCACATCATTGGTGGGATGCTCGGACGAAGCGTCGTTGGCGACAAGCCTCTGCTTATGGTCCTCCCGAGATTCGGGCCGTGTACCACGGGCTCACGGTGGGCCCAACTCCGCCTCCCGGAGGCGTCACCAGGCGGCTAAGCCCAGTGACCGACCAGCTCTTCACGATGTCGCGGTCAGAACCTCAAACCCCGCCGTCAAGGCGTCACCAGGTGGCTAAGCCCAGTGACCGACCCGCTCTTCACGAGGTCGCGGTCAAAACCTCTCAATGCCCTAATCCCCGTAGGTTTCGGTGCGTCCGCGCCCCGGGCGCCGACCCCGACTGGTCATTTTCCCCTTTAGTCGCCTTGTACGACAAGCAGGGAATACTGATGCGAAATTCTGTACGGCCTTCGCAACAGGGCCGGACCCCACGTCCCTGACGTATGAGCACGTCCCGGGCCAGAAACGCGCTCGAGCGTGTTCCCCCGTTTCTGCCACTTACGCCTTACGTGCTCATCGGGAACACCCCGAGACTGTGCCTTCCGTCGTAGGCGGGGCAGCGTTCTGACCCATTGGGTTCGCAACCCTTTCAATTCTTATGAGGAATAATTAATTTCATGTCATTTTGTTTTGAGGCGTTTATCTGTCCGTGCGGTTGGTGAGGGCTTCTCTTGCAAATCTTGCTAATGCCTCGTATGTTGCCTTATTTTTGAGGAAGGCCCCGTCCGCCGGTGGCCACGACACGCCTTCGTCGCTGAGGACTCTTTTTAGCCTAATTCGAGCACTTTTCGTCCGCGGGCAGAACCTTAGGACATGGTTAACCGTTTCTGGTTTCTGGTCACACTCGCAGATTGGGTCTGGGACGAGTTTAAAACTGTGCAATTTTGCCCGGAAGTCTCCATGGCCTGTTAAGAACTGGGTCGTGTAGTGATCCAGCTTCATCGGTAGATTGAACCTATATCTAACTGAAGGTATCATTTTCTTAGACCAGTTACCCTTGGGCAGGGTGTCATATCGTAGCTGCCATTCATCGAAGAGGTCGCTAACACTTTCGTCGAATGCCGCAGTCGTGATCTCCTGTGCACGCTGTTTCAGTTTTAGAACGTGCATTCTGATTTCCAGATCTAGGGGCATAGTGCCTGCAACTGCTGGAAGGCAGTTCGTTGACACGGTGTTGTAGGCACCGGTCATAGCCAAGAGGGGAGCTCTCTGGGCGCTGAGCAATATCTTTTTACTTTTTGCAAGTTTTGTCCCTGAAGCATATATTTCGCATAAGACGCCTTTGTAAATGGTCCTGGCCGCAAGTTGTCCCATGCCCCAGTTCGCGGAGCGGAGTCGTCTCATCCGACCCTACATATCCTTCGATTTTTTGCTGACATACTCAATGTGGTCCCAGAAGCTCTGTCTCGGGTCAAGGTAAACTCCGAGGTATTTGGCCGTGAGCACAGTCATCTAAGAGCACAGTGAATAATGAAGCATGTAAGGAATTTAAACCGTAGGTTACACTACTCTTTGATAATTGCATACTATGGAGTAAAAGTAAACAAATTAAATTAAATTAGCACTGCAGACATATTTGTCGAATGATAATTAAAAAGTTTGCTGCACTATCTAAAAAAAACACTATATTAAGTAATTCCCATATTGTAAAATGTGTTGTATATCATTGTAGTATCATGACTTTTGTTATTATATGTAATTCACTTGATATCGTGTATTAAACAGTAGGTACCTTTTGTGAGCTTATATGTATTATGTTGCAACAAAAACGTTGAATGTCATAGAGTTGAGTTATTAAGAGGACGCCACACATAAAGCGAAACGTGTACAACGGCCGAGAGAACGCGCTGTTAAGTGTTTTGGCGATCCGCAAGCGTGCGGCGTTTAACTGTTTAAGTCACACCCACTACTCCCAGTCGGCGGCTGGCCGAGCGCTCGTTCGGGAGCGACGTTCTATTATTCTATGATCGTTAGTCCTAGGCGTTTCGCGTCAACATTATAATATTCATACAAGTAAATGCGGCCGTAATATCTTCAATACCCGCGTGTATCTATGAACTAACAATTATAATTTATAATGTAAGCCATTGCTTACCTAAATATATGTACCAATATATATATCGTAGAAACTGTATTATAACATAGCTTGATTTGTATTTATTGAGTTATTACTTATTCAAATATTATAATTAAATAAAAAACTACAGTATTGCCTATTGGTAATCATTTGTCAACAGTTTTGAAATAGAAATATATTACTTATTTTTCAATTCAATTAAATTTGATGAAATTTTTAAGACGTTCAATTTATTTACCATTTATTAAATATATGTATAAAATATATTGATTATTTATATTAGGTATAAATATTATTATAAATATTATTTATTTATATAGAATAATATTTTCCTATTATAATTCCAATTATATTTATGTTATTTAATTTCAACAAATGTTGTGCCTATAACTTGATACCTATATTATACTCTGTAGGTACTTAGGTATACTAACTAAACAAATTATAAATTTATATATGAATACAAACATCGTGTTTGACTTGATATGTTAAATTTTTAAGAATGCTAGGACAGGATATTAATAATGTTAATAATTTATGTTACATAAATACATAATGTAATATTAAAAATATAATTTAACATTATTAGATATTTTGGTATTTATAGATATGTGCTGTTAACTATACACTATTATGACTTATAGCTTTAATTAATACTTATTTAATTTTTAACGAATAACGTTTTGTTTTATTTTTTTCTTCCTGTGCTTTTAATATACGGAGTGGTTCTCGTATGTCTAATATTTGTAACTGCCTTCCGTACAGTTGGTCAACTATTTCTGGCAAAATACATTCCAAATAAAACCTAAAAAACACACATGAATATATCAATCGATAGAACATTTACACTATAAACCATCTTATATAATTCTTACGTTTTAAGTAATTTTAATTTCCCAAAATTCATCATCATAAATATTTTTTTTAATATGTGTCCAGTTTTTCGTATGAACTACAAAAAAAACAAATATTCCTCCCGGTTATCCGTAACTGACCAATTATTTGATAAAAGTACGGATGCTCTTTTTTTAATTTAATATTTCCTTCTTTATTTACAATACAGTATTGCAACTGCAGGTGTAATAAATATGTAAAAATATATTATAATTTATAATTAATACAAATTTTAATGTATTTAAAAGATAATTATTTTCCTAAAATGTTTTACTTACAAGTTTATTTTCAATTGCTTCTTTCGCACTATTTATGTCTCTCGCCGTATACGGACATTTAATTTCAACAATCGTGTTGTCATCAATTAATCCGTCTAAAAATGTTCAACATTTTATTTAAATGAAAAGTTCCTTTTTAAAGTTATACTTTAATACAATTTAATATAAAATAATGTATTTTACCCGGACTTGCAGCTAGATATGGATATTCATTGTCCGTAAAAAGTCCACATAATTTTACTGTCATTCCTGTCAAGTCCTGAAACCGTGTTCTCGCCAAAGATTCATTTTCAATGCCGTGTGTCATTTCTTTAGACGTTATCGAGGATTTGTATAACATGTTATGAACTATTACATCAATCAATGGTTCAGCTAATCCATAATTATTGTCAGCAGCACTAGATGAAAATTTCGTTTTTGGTCGCTTTATGCCTGACGTGAATAATCTCTTCCTTCTTTTAAAAGTATTATCTCTTATTCTTTGTATATTACCTACTCATATATATTTTTGCAAATTTCCCTGTAGTAAATGTTGAAAGTGAAGCTTGACGGACTAATGATGTTAGCATTAATATAATAAGTAATAACACGACAATATGATTATGTATAAGTATAATATATAATAACGTACAACTGGACAATTAAACTGTGACTATACACACACACCGCGTACACTCGGTATGACAGCGTCTGTGCAAGTGAATATTACATACATCAAAGGCCCTATATATATGCACGACCGAGGTCATGTTACATCCGTGAAGAGAGTGAGTCTTATGCTCGTACATAACTAGTTACTAAATTGTACACACGTGTCAAGGCTGACTACATATACTACATATTAATTGTATATTTCAACACCCTCCCTCAATTAATAATCTCTTTAATTGTAGTCACTCCTATGGCTGACCGCAACTTCTCGAATCGTTCCTTAACCAAAGGCTTGGTTAGAATGTCCGCAATCTGGTCCTCTTTCCAATGTACTGTAGTTGGAATTGTCCCTCTTCGTATTTCTCCCGTATGAAGTGGTACCGTACGTCTATGTTTTGTCCTCTTATGAAACTTCGGATTCTTAACTAAACGTATAGCACTCTGATTATCTATAAATAAAACTGGTTGTTTGTCACCTGTTGTTGATAAGCTTGTTATCAACCGTGTGATCCACAAGATCCCTTTGACAGCTTCACTGGCCGAAATATATTCAGCCTCTGTCGATGATAACGACACACAATGTTGTCTCTGCGATGTCCATGAAATTATGCTTGACCCGTACCTGAATAGAAATCCTGACGTCGAACGTCGTGTCTGAATGTCACCTGCGTAATCTGCATCGCTAAATATTTCTAATGAAAATTTTGTTTTGTTATTAAAGTACAAGCCATAATTAAATGTTCGCTTGATATATCGTATAATCCGTTTTACCAAGTTCCAATGAGCTTTAGTTGGTTTTGCTAAGTAACGACTAGCAAAGTTTACTGCATATGCTATATCTGGTCTTGTTACCTGTGATAAGAACAGTAAGCTACCTACTGCCTGCCTATAAGGAATATCTTCATTCAATATTTCCGTATCTTCTTTTTGTTCAAGTGTATGTGATTTGTCTATTGGTATTGAAAGTTCCTTGGCTTTATTCGATCCATCTTCGTATCTTGGTGGTTGTACCATGTAAATTTCTTCCTGTAGTTCTCCGTACAGAAATGCTGTCTTGATGTCGAATTGTCGTAGTATTAATTTTTCCACAGCTGCTACTGCGAATATCGCCCTAATTGATTCGTATCTGACCACTGGCGAAAATGTTTCATGGTAATCTATACCGTATTTCTGTGAACAACCTTTAATGACCAATCTGGCCTTAAACTTATCGATATTACCGTCACTTTTATATTTGGTTTTGAACACCCATGCGTTACGTAACGCAACCTTGCCCTGAGGCAAATTAACTAGTGACCAAGTGTTGTTTTCGTGTAGTGATTTAATTTCCTCACTCATGGCGTGCTCCCACTCGTTTTTCTGTGGGCCAGCTATCGCTTCATCACGATTTAGTGGTTCAACGAGATTGGCGACGAACGACGACACATTATACCTGATCGGCGCTTTTAATGTATTCCGATCACGTAGCACCATGCCACTCCTGTTGTCGACCGTCGTCAATTCGACCTTGACCGGATCGTCCTCGACTTGTGTCTGAGTATCTGTGAATTCTAATTTGTCTGCAATTATATTTTCCAATTTATTACCTTCGTTTTCGAATATAATATCTCTAGACATTGAAATTCTATATGTTTTCGAATAATACACACGATAACCTTTGGTATTATCCGAATAGCCAACAAATATTCCTTTTTCACTTTTAGGGTCCCACTTTTTACGTTTTTGCTTTGGTATGTGTGTATATACGACAGTACCAAAAACTCGTAAGTGTTTAATGTCTGACATTACCTTATAATATAACTCGTATGGTGAGTTATTTTTAACTGAACTGGTTCCTGTTCGATTAAACGTGTAAACAGCCGTGTTTACCGCCTCCGCCCAAAGTGATACATCCAAATTTTTCGCACAAATCATTGTCCTCGCTGACTCTACTATTGTACGATTTTCCCGTTCCACTTTTCCATTTTGCTGTGGTGTGTAGGGAACTGTTAACTGATGTCGAATCCCGTGTTTTTGTAAAATACCCGTAATTTCTTTATTTACGAATTCTAATCCATTATCCGTTCGTAATATTTTGACCTTAGAACCTGTTTCTGTTTCAACACTTTTTATGAACGTCTCAAAAATATTTTTAACATCATATTTATTTTTAATAAAATATACCGTTCTATAATGCGAGTAGTCGTCTTTGAATAACAAAAAGTATTTTGAACCGCCTATAGAGCTTACCTCCATTGGTCCACATAGGTCTGCATGGATTAAATCACCGACATTGTGATACTCCGTATTACTTTTACTAAATGATTTACGACTTTGTTTACTATTATACAACTGCTGCACATGAATTCGTCGTCCTTGGCCGAACATACTATTTCGTGTTTCGCCAAACAACTTTTTACGTACTGTAAATTCTGATGTGCCATGCGCTCGTGCCAAACAGACAACCTGTTTTCGACAGCTACCGTCGCGTACCCGTTTGTCGGTACTTCGACCTTGATGTTTAACTCAAACAACCTTCCGCATCTCTTACCTGAGCATACGGGTTTCCCCTGTTTAGTCAACATACACGTCTTACTATCTGACGTCATTACTAAACCTTTATCCATCGCGGCTCCGCACGAAAATAAATTAAATTTTAGTCCTGGCACGTGCAACACGTTTGCCATATAATTTTTATTCCAATTACCGTTTACGTATGATAATATATTAATATTACCTCTACCTGCTGCATACAGATTCGTCCCATCACCTATCGTGATTTGTTGCGTGTTGTCCAGTGGTTCATAACTAGAAAACCACTCTCGATTTGCGCTCATATGATCCGACGCGCCCGAGTCTAGTACTAACGCATCTGTTGCAATATTATTTATACTTGACTCGCTTACGAATGCGTTCAAGTTCGCACCTATCGTACCGGTTTTACCACTGTGTACACTTTGTAGAAAATTTCTACAGTCTCTTTTATAATGACCTAGTTTACCACAGTAATAACACTTAATATTACTTTTATTAGTAAATTGATTTTTACCTTTTCCATAATTACGACTGCCGTTTCTTCCATCAGATCTGTTTTGAAATTTGGCCGGAAATGCACTCGATTTCTCTTGTTCACCAACTTCACCTTTGATCTGGATAACCCGTGATTCTTCAATCAACAATCGACTAGTCATATCCGTAACTGGTTCACCCGCTACTCTCAGTTTCCTTCCTAAATTGACCAATTTAGAAATATGCGTCGACATGTCATCTGTCGACTCCTTTGAATAACTGAAAAATTGTTGTTGAAGCAAATGTATACTTGCCTCAGACTTCTGCTCGTAAATACTCAGCAGTTTCTCCCACATTTCCAATGCAGTCTCACAGTTAATCAAATATTGTAATGGACCATCGTCCACTGAGGTAACTATTATTTTCTGACATTTACCGTCCGCTTTTTGCCAAGCGCTAGTATGCCTTTGCCAACGTGCTTTGGCTTCCTCGTCGGTCTCTCCAGCCGACTTTTTTATAGGTAGACTTGGTTTCGTCCATTCACCTGAAACTATCTCACCTACTTCCAAGGCATTTAGAATGACCTTCATCTGGAACTTCCATAACGACCAGTTTTCCGCACATAATTTTGTTATCTTCACCGTGTCTTCCATGACCGATGGATTCCCGTATACTTTCCTGTATAACAATTTATAACTAAACTTTACCTATGTACACTGTTCCGCCGTTTTCCGAAATCCAGGATATCTCCGACTGGTTGTAGTTTTCTGCGTTAATACAAATATAAAAATACTTCGATCACGAATCCACTAGACTGTTTGTCTTGGTTATTGACTGGGCCCATAACCTGTTGAAAGTGAAGCTTGACGGACTAATGATGTTAGCATTAATATAATAAGTAATAACACGACAATATGATTATGTATAAGTATAATATATAATAACGTACAACTGGACAATTAAACTGTGACTATACACACACACCGCGTACACTCGGTATGACAGCGTCTGTGCAAGTGAATATTACATACATCAAAGGCCCTATATATATGCACGACCGAGGTCATGTTACATCCGTGAAGAGAGTGAGTTTTATGCTCGTACATAACTAGTTACTAAATTGTACACACGTGTCAAGGCTGACTACATATACTACATATTAATTGTATATTTCAACAGTAAATAAATATATATTGTTATAAAAGTGGGTGAGTAAGCGACTCTTCAGTCAGAGACTCGGAGCAGTAGCCCTGTGGTACAGTAGGTTACAATTTATCTTACCTGGAGTTTTAGTTGTAATTTTTTTTTGTAACGTACGTAAATAATTTTTAGAATTAAAAGCTACAACTGCAGCTTCTATTCGTGTTTTATAATTATGGCTTTGTGTAAAATTAATTCGCTTCCCACCGATATGCTGGTTAATTAAACTGTTTAATTGTTCGCAAGGGTTATTATCAACGTCTTCAATTAAACTTTCTGCATTGTTTGATAAGCGATAAACAATATTCCTAATTTCTCCCATTAAACCACTCTTTTCAGCATCAGTTACCAAATTAGGCTCACCATTTTTGCTCCCTCGACAAAAGTAGTTTGCACACCCACTATGTTGTCCTAGCCGATGATACGGACTATTAGCAATATCTTGTTTCAGCGCTAATAGAAACAAAAAGAAATAGTTCATTATTAGTTAAATAATAATTAATAACTAAGTAGGTAATTTTAGTAAATTATAACAATAAAAACCTGAAATTTTTAGATTGATCGGTAAATCACGTCTCTTTTGATATGAAATAGCTTTAGTTATATCAGACCGAAAATGTAATATTTTTGACTTTATGAAGTTACGAATAACTATCGGGTATTTAATATTTTTTGTTAGTGCTGTTAATTTAGTAGCGAAATTGCGCAGAAGGTGATTTCTGCATTCAATTTTTGTAATCGTAAAGTCGTTTCCATAAGGTAGCGTCTCATTTAACCGTTTGGTTACACTACTTTCACCGTCACCTAAACATTTTTTATCAATAACAAAATTAAATATAACTGCATCTATCTAAATATTGTACGTATTATTGGTTACTAATTAATTTATTGAATTTTAACCCATGCATATTTATACTGTTCATAAACCCTTCTACGATTCCATCAGCTTCCATTGCTGTCGATGGCTTACTCCAATTTAAAAAATAGTTATGTTTTGATGGTTCTTCTTTTTTTTAGTCTCATAACCAATTATTGCAGCCTATACTTACAAAATTATTTGATTAATACAATATATTTTTTTTAAATAATTATTATGTTATAATAACATTTTTTTTGTGTTGCCCATTTTTCTATTAGGTACTACTGTATTGGAATTAAGAATGAACACATTTAAAAAATGAAGGGGCTTAAATTCATTAGAGGGGACCTCTCCTAGTCCTCCCCCTAAATTGTGCGTATGAATATAATAATAAAAAAGTTTATTACCGCTCCCGAAAAAGCATTATATTTTGTCCGGTAACTTCGCTTAGACCACTGACCATCTGCAATTACAGTACACATGGGAGTACAATCCGTGTCTAAATTATTTCTGTCTATTGCTAATTGCCACTCTTCATTACCTGCCTTTATCATCTCTTCTAAGGTAGAATCTTTTACATCGTCACCAAGCATCGAAAGATGTTTGATATAAGACGTTGATGAAATATTTGGTAACTCTATTGCAGCTGAGAGTTCGCTTAATTGAGTATGGCCAATTCCTATATAGTTTAGAATGGTACAATGTATATTACAATATATATTAAGTTAAATTTAAATAATATATTATATGTTTTACCAATAACTAAACTGCCATTTACAATAGCTCTGTTTATTCCAAAAGAATTTGACTGTACTGTTCTCTCTGAAAATATGGTATTTTCAAAATTACACATTTTACATTTAAATGTAAACACTGATGTATACCCTCTGCGACACTCATTCTGGAACACCATATCCAAGAAAGAACAGTCGCATTGAATGTTTCACTCAAACTAGTACAAGACAAATTATGTTCTAGAGGTTCAACTAAAAGCTCCGGCCTGGATTGATCAGAATTTGTTGTGTCTAATAAAGTTATTGTCCTACATTTATTTAAATTTAGTATAGTTTAATAAATTACACTTTTTGTTAAAAAGTTAGAATAACTTTAAAAATGTGAAATATTCCGAAACAAATCAAAAAATCGTTTGATACTAAATCGTTATTTTTACAGACATTTTAAGAAAAACTTATGCAGAACGTTGTGTCAAATTTTCAAACCTTAAGTATAAATACTTAAAATTTTATGAATTTTAAACTACAAAATAACTTCAATTTCGTAAAAATTTGAACTTTCTACGCTTATAAAAAAAATGGTGACTTACAATTTTTGATTTTTTTTAATGGCCAGCAGTACAACTTATGAGAAACTTGTATTAAATTTTAAAGAATTTTTGGCAAGCCAAATTTTTTTAATTGACATTTCAGAAAAAAAAACTAAGATAATTTCAAGTATCTAAAGTAATTAGTTTTTGAGTATCACCCAAATTATAAAATTAAAAACCTAACTGGTTTTGCGCAGAATTCCCGTTTTTCTCTAATTTTTTTTTTTGTTTTTCATGGCGCATTTGAAAACTACTGAACATTTTTAAATTTTGACTCCCCAAAGTACAATACACATTCACTTTGCTACCCAGAACCACCATTGATATTTAAGATTGAAGCACTATAACGACTTTAAATTTTGTCCTCAGACACACAAATAAAAACTAAATAAAAAAACACACATCATTGTAAAATCAATACATTCACCACTCCGTTCAAAATCTAAAAAAAGAACACACATCATTGTAAAATCAATACATCCCTCGAATCTAAAATCACCCTGTATAATAAATATTTCGTAGTTTTCATATTTATAAATGAAAAATATTTTTAAAATATACCTAGTCAATCAATACATTGATCAAAACATTTATAAAGTTAAATAATAAAAAATAAGTAAATTCGTTCTGATAAAATATTTCATTTTTTAGGTATTTGAATTAAATAAATTAGTTAATTTATTCACCTCGACGTCGACGGTGAGCTCCAAATAAAAGGTGTATGACATGAAAAGTAAATTTTGACTCACTAAAACGTTATTATTATTTTCAGAAAAAAATTATATTACAATGTATTTATTATATATAGGTAATGTATAGGTACTCGAAATTGGAAGACTTTGGAGTTCCATCTAAATTTTCCGTGGCTGGATTTTCACTAATTTCACTTGTACACTCTAATCCATTAGCTGGTAGTTGTAATAGACATTCACTAAAATAATAACATCTAATCATTTATATATAACAAAAATAATAATCTCCTGATCCCAAATCCCAATACTATACCCGCAAGTATCTAAAGTAGTAACTGAAATAAATTATATATTAATTATTTGATTATTAATTAAAATGTCATACTTACGTTTTTTTTTTGAGTTTTATATTTTTCATACGCTTACTAACTGCTTTTTTTCCAGTAGCACGTTTTTTTGTACGTAATTTTTTTGGTGACATTATAAATATTAGTCAGTATCCACCAAACAGTTAAATACGAATACAAAATAAATTACACAAAAACGCATACTAAAACAATTACACTTTTTGGCAATTTAATTAAAACAGTTAGAAAACAATGTCTAAAATTCAATTGGCAACTTTTGATGAATGAACACTGTTCACTAAAAAACGTTGAACTAAAGTAATTGGCTAATAAGGGAATAGGGCCTATATTATAATATACGAAAAAAAAAATAATAGTTGTTAATAAAGTACCAGTGTGTATTTTAATTTTAGAATTATCCAGTATTTTCATATTCGCAATAGTCACCAAAATATTATATCATAATATCTAAACTATTCTTGGAAATCATTACAGCGCGGGCGCGCTAGTTGCCGATACAGACATATATAATTTTAGTATACCGTGGAGGGGGAAATCGTATTAGATGTGACATCCACCGTAGGTAGCAGCACATTACAGCCAAAAATATTTAATAAAATTGAAATTTTTACGTTAAAACTGTTTCACGCGGGAAAGAACAGAGATGGCTATAGTCATAACCAGGGTTCGGGACTTATAGCATTTGCATATCCATCATAGGTGATGTAAAACATAGCATAGTGATCTACAAATACGTTTTGTAGTACAGAGAATTAAAATATGAAATTTTATTTTGCATATTTTAGCATATTTTGGGGGTTTTTGCATATTTTTTGCTTATTCGACGATTTTTAATGATTGATGGTTAATATAATTGTTCAAAATGTATTAATTAAAATGTTGAACGATTAATTGCGAAAATTTGTTTTTAGAAAAGCCCCTTCTAGAATTTTATTATTTAAAACTGAAGCACCTGGAATTAAATTGCCACCAGAACCCATAATAACTCGTTGGGGAACATGGTTGGATGCCGCAATTTACTATTGCGAACATTTTGAAACGATTGTTCGCATTATACATTTATTAGACGAAAATGATGCAGTTAGTATTCAAAAGGCAAAACTATGTATATCAAAACCGAACTTACAATGTAACTTGGCTTTTATCAAATCCAATTTTGAAGTGTTAACTATAGCTATAAAACAACTACAGACACAATATGTTCTATTAACAGATTCGCTAAAACTTATAGAGGACATTGAATCGAAATTATGTAATTTACACGGACCATATGGAATTGCGGTGTCAAAAAAACTTGATCAAGTATTGATAAAAAACAAGGGTTTAAATAGTTTAAAACAAATATGTAAAATTATCACCGGAGGAGAGTCTATGGATCTTCGTTCAATAGCAGAAGATCTAACATGTAATGATCTGTTATTTTTCAAGTATGCCCCCATTACTTCCGTCGACGTGGAGCGTTCATTTTCGGCATATAAGTGTATTCTAGCCGATAATAGAAGGGCCTTCCAGTTCGAAAATGTTCGAAAACATCTAATAGTTCAATGCAATCACAAAGGCACTAAGATTTAAATTACAAATTTTTTTATTTTTTAATTTTTAATTTTTTTAAATATAAAAAAATTAATATATCATATATACCTATTTATTAATACATATTATATCAAATAAATCTTTTTTGTTAATGATTTTTAATTTTTTTTTAAATTTTGTAGTGCATATTATTTTCATTTTTAGTGCATATTTTTAAGTTTATTGGGTCATATATAAGCGCATATTTTAGTGCTTTTTAGTGCTATAAGTCCCGAAACCTGGTCATAACTAAGAAACGAAATTTTCGCCACATAAAAAGGAGAACTTTGGCTGTGAAATATCGTTTTTATTTTTTCGATATCGGAACAACAAAAAAAGTTTAGTAATGGGATTACGTAATATCATGTATTTGCTCGTAAAAACAACCAGGAATGCGACCACACCCAAAAGTGTTTACGACTAGAATACCACTTTTAGTCGTGACTCGTGAGGTCCGAATCATATCAAGGACGACTGTACACGCGCTACCCGCTTTCAAAAGACGCCGCCACCATATATATAGGGAACAACGAGACAGCCTGAGTAGATGTATCCAGAGACGTGAACAACACACGACTCGCTTATCCACCAGCCATCACACATAATTATACGGAGATTATCAATTCTAGAACGAGCTACCATTCACTCAACTACACAATCAACACGACTGTTCTGCTTATTTTGTCTGGTTTAATAAAATACATTTGATTACTATACTAATTTGACTATTATTATTTATAAAAGTACATCAGCTTTTGGATCCCTGAAGGGCCGTACGTAACACTGGCGCAGTCGGTAGGATTCCACAAAGGAGGCAACCGTCAAAGGCTACTGTCAACAACGAAGAATTGATCACTCTTTTGCGAAGACAACTCCAGGAGGAACCAACAAAAAACAAATAAGTCACGTCGCAGTACCAACAAATACATCAGCAGCATCATCAACATCAGCAACATGTTATCGTCAGCCATGAACGCAGCATTATTGTGAGTGAATAGTTATTTAAATTTGTTAAATAGACGTATGCAACATAATTAAGACATATTAAGATAAATCTAGGTAATTGATTATAAGTGTAATGGTGTAAACCGATTAAATTTTATTGAGGGCATATTTTATTGATTATTAATGAAGTTTT